GACAATGCACTTGAAGAAAGACCCCATTTCTCAACTTTAAATTTGCTCTAGAAGCTGAGAGCTGATCTCTGTCTTCACCACGAATGTTGCATAGAATCATGTTAAGGTCAGGCACATGCTGCAGACAAACCTTTGAGAGTCTTCATTAGGACAAAGCAAGCGTCTCTCAAATTCTCCTTGGTGTCCATGGCCTTTTGATTGGCACTGTGAATAGTGATCTCAATTTGCTCTGATCCCAATTCCAAGGCACAGGTGTTTTGCTGTCAGTCAAGTCAAAACAGTTTGCACAGTCCCCTGAGGCATTTGCTGGTAATTTTTCTAAGAGGATTAAGACACTCACAGCTTTTCAGCCAGTCTAGTCTAGGTCACAGCTCCTGGTAAGGCCCATGCCCCGCAAGCAGCCCATCAAAACAGGCTGTTGAATGGAGGTTGGTGTAGATTAATGTTAAGTGTCTGATCACATGTGAGAAAGCCAAATCATGCCCAAGGCATATTTCCAAACAAAGTGTAGTATCCTGATTTGCAAGGAAGAGTCAGGGGCATGACTATGGAAAATCCCCAGGCAGGAACCACTCTGTTGTTTCTTGCAGTCCCTTCCTTCAGCTGTAACACATTAGGCTAAAGCCCATCATTGAAGACCTCTGTGTGAATGGTCTTTTCTTCAGCACAAACCACCAGTTATGAGTAAAACCCGCCCTCAGCAACTCCAACCAGTTCTCAAGTAAAATTTGGCAGCCAAGAGAGGACCCTCTTAAATGCTAACAATAATTCATATCTCACTTTACAAGCTGTGGGGCAGTCAGCAGTCCCAGGCCAGGGAGGGTCAAGAAATACGTGTCTGGAGGCAGCTGCAGAGAGATCACTGGGGGAGAGGGGGATTTAACAGCACCTTGCCTAAGGAGCAAGGCTCACCAGTGGGAGGCTAAGAAGGGAATGCCACAGCCCTCCTGCCTCAGTTCAGCTGTGCCTTGGTGCTGTGTGCACAGACAGTGGCACACAGGCAGTGCAGGGCCACCGAAGACCCGTGCTGGGGGCAGCCAGGTCGCGCTGGGGGCTGTAGGACCCCCCTGGTGCAGGAAGCTCGAGCGCTCTGACAATCCCGACGGCTCGGGGAGAACAGTGCTCGGCTGGGAGAAGGGGGTTGAACAAAGTGGCTTTGTTTGGTGTAATCCTCCTGAGCTGCTTCCCGCTCCGTGGGGCCGAGGGGTTTGGCACAGGATAAGCTGCACACACACACACGCACACGCACGCGCGCTGGGGCACGCAGGCTCCTCGCCCGCCATCCGGCTTGGCTGAACAGGGCCACATTCACCTGCCCAGGAATTCGTCCCATGACTGCTCTGGGAGGCACCTCAGCGTGTCCTGGGGCTGGTTTCTGCAGCACAGCAGGGACTGGGGGTCACATGTGCCTTTGGGAGCACGCAAGACTGGGATGAAGAGCGCGGTTCCACGGCTGCATCCTGACTGCAGCAAGGCAGCTGTTCCTGCTCCCCAGCACCAAGGACTGGGAACTCTTCCACCATTGCCAGCCCCAGTGGATTCAGAAAACAGATTAAGAATATCTCTGGCACAGAACTCACCAGGTGCGGGCCAACCAGAGGGATTCTTCTGCCAAAGAGAAATTTGTTCTTCCCTTCAGAATGTTTTCCTGACATAATAGCTTAGGATATAGCAATGCCTCCCAAACTTTATTTTCTGAGACTGGCCAACCCAAATCATGAGCGGCTTTTCCCACCTTGGCAAGTAGAAGATGGCCCACCAATGGAGTGGAACCCTAACATGAGGGTGTCACAATTATTTAAGATTGTCCAAAGAAGGGAAAACACCAACCATGCACTGTTACCGTACTTTCCCCAGAAGTACAGTGTGGCTCTTTCCCAGGGGGATTTTTAGGTATTCAGGCTTCTCGCTGCTCCCTTGAGGAATGGGTCCTCAGCCAAATGCAGGTGTTGCCCACCTGCACTGGGCTGTCGATGCAGGAGTGCATAGGCTGAATTTAACCATCTCATGTCTTCTCCAACCATCTCATTTCTTCTCCAACCACCAGGCCGCCTGGTCGATGCTCTCAAGAACTATGAGGTGATCTTCTACCTGGCGGGCTCAGAGGTCGTGCTCTCTGCCCTCTTCCTGGGTGTGGCCAGCTACTGCTGCCTGAACCGAGGGAAGAAGGAGCCTCCCCCCGAGAACAACCCCTCTGCGGGAGCGGGCAGCGACACCGAGGAAGCGGAGTCCGACGTGCAGGAAGCCGAGGAGCACAGCAGCAACAACCACCAGCCGGCCCACAGCACCGACAACGCCGTGGTGGTGGCCAGCGAGGAGGCCAACCATGTGGCAGAGGAGCAGAGAGGGGAGGGAGGCGGCTGTCCCGCCGGGGATGGGGAGGTGCTGGCCCGGGACGGCTGCAACGCTGACCAGAGGGTGGAGAGGGACAGCTTTTAGCCAGGGCAGAGAACAGGGATGTATAAAACTGGCCTTGTTTGCAAGCACCTCAGCATGGGAGGGTAGGCGGGATGCAGGGAGCAGAAAGCTGGGACAAGGGCAGATGTAAGAAATAAGTGGGAGAGGTGCAAGAATAGCTGGTCCTTATGTACATATGTCCACAACCTACCCAGTGATACGTCTGCTTGCATCCTGCACCCATGCTGGTACAACGCAGGCTCAGAGCAGCCCAAACACCAAAAAGAAAAATAATAATAATCTTCTTTCCTCACTTTCAAACCAGCCCTGGAGAAAGTCTTCAGAAGAGGCTGCCAAGGACTCTCCTTTTCCTTCTGCATGGTCACAATACAGAACACAAACAATTAGAGACTCTTTGTAATCAGATCTGATACGCTCTGTTCTGGTGTCAGTGTTTTCTTCACCCCACTTCCACGGTCTGGATAGTGTCAGTCTCACTGGCAGCACGTTTAGGAGGTGGTGTAACTCACAGCTGCCAACCTCCATGGGAGCAGACACCAGGCTCTCTGCAACACCTCCCTCGGGCACTGCCGAACCAGGAGGCCACCAGCTCCAGCCACCTCTGCCTGGCACTTCTTTAGTGGGCAGGAAAGCTGGGGCAGTGACACCTGATGCTGCTTCCCCAGGTGGCGAAGCGCTGCCTTAGAGGCTGCTGCTGAGGTACAAGAAGAAGGCACCTAAGAAAGGCTAATGCCATTAGGTGTGCAGCCGCAGCACGGAGCCTTGCTGACAGGAATAGCACCAAGCCAGCTTTATCTAGGCTCAAGTGAGTCCCGTTGACGTGTGAAGGGAGCAACTTGGCCCCTGTGGGGGCAGGGGTGTCAAGACAGGTAAATAACCGTGCCCCAAGTGATTATCCACTGAGCAGGAATGGCACCAGATGTGCCTGTGTTTTCCTCTTAAATAGAGAAAACCTCCTTACATAAAGGAATCAAAGGTAAGGCAGAAGGACAAGCCCCAGTCCCCGGTGCCGCTAACGAGGGTGTTGGAGCACGTGGTAAAGCAGGCATGACCCCCTCACCCCCTGCTGCAGTGGTGGATTTCTAGATTCAGAGAGGACAACCTTCCCTGGCATGCTTAAACCACTTGTAATCTGCTTTAGGACAGGATCTTTTATAAACACCCCTGGCCAAAGCTCTTTCTTCCGGTTTCCCGAACTGCTTCACCTCAGAGAGACCCTGGGGGAACCTGTGACTATAACAAGGGATCAAAAACTAAGCAGAGGGCTACAGGGAAGGCAGCTTGTTGGGCCACCAAAAGTTGTGTTTCATTCCAGACCAGACTGACTACAAATTAATGGGTAGTTGGCAGGATCCATAAAGCCATTTAAACACAGCAGGGGAGTGGGGACATGTAGGAAAGGGTTTCATTCTAGGTGCTCCCAAACAAAAACCACCAGTAAATGATGAGCGAAATGAAGCTGTTGAAGAGTATCAGTTTAAGAAGAGACAGAAGAACTGGAAATTGGAGGGGAGAAGGTAAACCCCACGAGGCTGTACTCTGTCCCACCGTAGCTAACACCACTGTTAGATCTGATATTGAGCTAGTCATAGTGGTGACTTCGGGCATTTTCCTACTCAAACTCCCTTAGAAATATCCCAAGCAAGACTAAACCCCATACCAAACCCCAGATGCAAAGCTCTGGGAGAATGAGAGCAGCAGCAAGGGTGCTGGGGCCCTGCAGGCATTCATGCAGTGCCCTCAAAGCTTGTTTTCCTTCCCAACAAGGAAAGATCGCTGTTTCTGCTCGACCAAGCTGCTCTGCAGCTCTTTCCCCAGTAACCCCAGGCTGGGTTTCCCTTATTCACTAGTATGCCCTACAAGAAAGAGCTCACAACTTCCCAGAGGTCCAAGGTCCACAGCATGAAAACAACTGCCCTTGTCAGCCAGGCCGGTCACTAGAACAAGGTCCCCTCTGTTTCCTTGTCACAAGCCAACATTTCCCACTAAGCCTCCCGCTCTTAAATTATTTTCACAAAAGCAAATAAAAGCCCTCAGGGTACGAGATCTCACTTACAGACAGTGCTGCAAGATTCCCAGACCTCTTCCTGAAAAACCCAGCTATGCTGCTTTACGCTTTACGGTTTCAATGGCTTTCAGGCAGACTGCTGAAGCATTTTCAGTTCCCTTCAACTGCTTCGTGTTTTGGCCAACAAACAACTCTGAAAGAGGATCAGGGACTTAAGCATCAGCTGAAGCTTGTGATGCAACAGCTGAGCTGCGTGGGGAAGCTGGCCCTGGAGAGGGACAGAGATGCCACCTTGGCAGGACTGAGGCACCACACAAGGCTGGAGTTCCCCTGGGAAGCCAAAATGCAGAGAAGCTGGTATTGCTGGAGGACTGGCCCTGCTACAGCATCTGTAACTCTCTGGAAATCTGTGCTGTACTGACCACCACAGGTTGGTGTAGAGATTATGCACCAGTAGGAGAAGACAAAAATGGCCAGCACGTGACACCCATCTTCCCAAGGTTATAGATTAAGATTAAAACCAATGGAAGATAAGCAAACAAACCTCTCATAGAAAGGCATGAAGGACATGAAATGAAATGTCACATATTTCTTTATTACAGACAATAGTCACTACACCAGTCTGTTTAAATTCTCCAGAGCAGCTTGACCATGGATGGCTTTTCTCCAGGCACCCACAGAGATGAAGAAGCTCCAAAAACAATCAAAGAGAAACATAAATAAAAAAAATTCTTGATCATAAATTAATGCACTTAAATAACTTCTCCCACGACCACCAGAATGTAATGACAGAGAAGTAAAAAACCCTGGCCCAAGAACACCACCACTCCTGGCAGTTATGCTGCCCACTAACAGATAAAAGTGCCATCTGCATCTGGGATTGGCCCACAGAGATGGAGGGAGGAGAAGATAAAAGGAAGGAGGAAATAAGCACTCTCACTTACCTCAGCTTTCCTTTTCCCCCTTCCCTTGTGCTAGGGAATGGGAGGATAGCTACTGCTGCTGGCTGGCCCAGAGGCAGCACAAAATAGCTGTGCAGAGAGGAGAGCACACTAGTCATTCTTTATACTAAAAAAATCCCAAAGCCTCTTCCTCTCTCCACAAGGGCTTGTGTCTCCTTTCTATTTTAAAGATAGGGTATTTCCATCACAGTCCTAAGGTGGATAGTGGAAAGCTCAGAAGGAGCTTGAAGACAGCAAGCAGTGATGCTAACACTTCCCCACAGCACAAGGGGAGGATAGAAGGGGGCTGCTCTCACCATTTGTAATCACCTCCAAACCCTTAACCAGCTTCCATATAACAGAGAGGAGCACACGTGCTCAGCAGAGTCCTGCTCACAGGGACACATGGCAGTGTAGGAGTGGCTTTTCCTCCCCACAGCTCAGTACCCAGGTTGGGCAGCAGAAATCTCCAGGGGCAAAAAACAATTATCCAGGCAAACAAGCAAAGGAAAAGAGAGGAAAGCAGAGGCTGGTCCCAATCCAACCAGCTACCCCACCCAAAGCAGAGGAGGAATCCCAGGCTGGACACACAGAGACATCGCAGAGGATGAATGGCCACGTGAAATACATGTTTTCAGAAGTCTGCAAAGTCCTCCCTCTGGCCATGCTGACACACTCAGGCATCATCAATGAGCTTCTCTCCATTTGCATCCTCCCTCCCGCTACCCTCTCTCTCGCTTTCTCCTTCTTCTTCTTCCGCCCCATCAGTGTAGGTGTCCTTCTGCCCATAGCTGAGAGTGGTGCGGGCGAGGTCCACCTCGATGGGGAAGACATCGGCGTCGCGGAGCACGGCGTAGCAGTCGTCGTAGTACTTGGACATCGTGGACACAAAACGCTGGAGCTGGAACACGATGTCCTGCACTGCAGTGGAGACATGTTGGGGGGAAAAAGCGTAAAAATTTCCTTCCCAAACAGTGTGAAGGCTGTGACCAAGCCTCCCTTACCAGTGTTAGATACCATCTCCTACACATTAATCCCTTTTGGCCCCTCAGGGCTGATGTCTCGGGCACAGCCACAAAGGAGTTCTTCAGTAAAGAAGAACGGAGCTGTCTTCTGAGCTGAGACAAAGGAAGAACACAAGGCCAAAGTCATGTCTGCTGAACTCAGCAGTGGCACTCACCATGTTTCTGGTCCAGGAGCTCTATTTTCTCCAGCACGTCCTTCCTCATCTTGGCAAAGCGCGTGCGAGCCTCCTGCCGGCAGCGCAGGATGAGGCGGTACTCGTAGTTCCCCGTGCTGACCCGGTAGAGAGGCTCACCCAGAGCCTGCCAAAAACACAGCCCCATTTTAGAGATCCCACAGCAGTGCTTGCACCCAAGTCTGCCTACCAGTGTGGACTCACAATGACCTTGGGTTATCACAGACCTCTCAGGCACACGGGAACTGCTGTCAGGAAGCAGGAACCCGGAGGAACACTGAGCCGTGTCAAAAACTGGCAGCAGTGGGGCCACTTTGAAGGCCAAACACACACCAAGCATGGTAAAGAAAAGCATCACTACTAAGAAAATACAAAAGGACAGGCACCTTTCAGCCCAGCATGGAGAGGTGGCACAGATTCTTACCTGAACTAGTAAGTCAGGCATTAAAAATGAGTTTATATCAAGCACATAAAAATTCTGCCCTCCTCTGTAAGGTTTTCCCTGTATGGATTGCATAATGAATTACATATCTACACAGGGAACCCTCTGATCTACAACCACCCAGACACAATGATGGAAACCAACAGGGAGGGACCTATACATTGTCCTGCAAAAGTCTGGGAAGGGGTTAGCTCTGTCAGCAATGAAGCATCCTTCCCTTGCCCCTGTAAACACAACACACAGAAAAATCCATGAGACATACTATGGCTCCCCAGCACACACTGCACGTGCCAAAACCCAAAGGTGTCACTCTGCTGGGAAAGAATGGGATTCTCTCCTTCCCATTTAGAAGGAAACATATAATGAAAAATTGTGTTAGGAGTTTCATTCCTTCCTGGCACTTGGAAACTAGGCATTCCAAGAAATGAAATGCCTGCTCTGAGGTTGATACTGAGGATAAAAAAAGATGTTATTTTATGCAGGGAAACTGGAATTTACGGGATACCTTTAGCTATTTTAAACAGAGCTGGTAAGAATTAAAGTCCTAAAACTCTAAACTATAAATCCCCTATTGTTAAGAGATATCCTTTAATCAATTTCCTTCACTTATAAATGCAGCTTCACATGCATTTTGCTACAGAGAAGCTAAATCTCCATTTCTAAGAAACAAGTCCAGAATTAATGATAAGCTGTACACTACACACAAATGGAATCTGTGAAGATAACACCTTAATCCTCCTTACATAACCTAATAGTACTTAAACACTGAGAAAGGCAACCACTGAGCAAACAAGCTGCAGTGCTTCCCAGGTAGCATTTAAGGATCCTCTATTCCTAATACATTAAGAATAAATGTATGTAATTCCTTAAGATGCATTCACTAGTTTAGGTGCTGACAGACACAGGAGTGCTTTTGCAATTGTATGATACTCACAATGCAGCTGTACTCTTCATCATCCATCTCTTTAACTTTCAGGCAGTAAGACTTTGCAGAATTAAAGATTTAAAAAAAAAGAAAAACAGGGAGGAACTATTAAAAATTAGAAACAACTTCATTATCACCCATACCCATGAGGTTGCACCATTCCAAGTCTTTCTTCAGGGAACAGACTGAAGAAAGCACAGTGGGAAAAATGCAGTGTTGATTTACTCTTTGGGAAAAGACAATAAAAGAAAAGTATGGGAAAGAGATGGGAATAAATAAGAAGGGAAACAAAAATATTAATTGCAGGAATGATTGATGTAGGAAGATATCCTGCCATATTCCCTTGCCTTAGGGCTGCAGCTCCAACTACTTCTCTCAACAGGTAAAAGCAAATAGATTCCTTCAATTACAGGTGCACTGAGCAACCTTACCCTTTTTGGGTAGAAAACAAGGGATGAGTGGAATGAAGGACAAAAAAAAAAGGGCAAGGTCTAAAGTAGAGCAAATATGACTTGACAGTTGTTTACTTTGACTCAAGAAAGTGTGGCCAAAATTACCTGAAAAATATGGATTGGAGAGTTTTTAGAGGAGTTCAAGAGCCTAAGTTGCAGAGGAACTCTTTAGAAATAAATTAGGAAATAATTGTGACTATGTAGAAAATAAGTCACGTGGGTACTGTAAGATCTTTCTTACCAGTGAGAAGTGTTAAGCTAAAAACAGGTGTCTGACCTGAGTAATCTGGCAGTAAACAAAGAACTAGAAAAAACAGGGCATTTTCTCATGGATTATGGAAGGATGGATATGTGATCATATAGGTTAGATGTGATTTCCAGGATGATTCTATGAAACTTAATTTCAACCAGCACTTAGGAAAAAAAACCAAACCAACAATAAAACCAAGCAGCTCACCAAATATTCAAACTTGACATCCAGGTATTTTTTGATAGTCAGCCTCGTGTCAGGAATGGCTTTATTCAGATAGGTATTCAAGTCAGTGAGCATCTGCAAAGGAAACACCCACTTGCTGAATTAAGACTAAAAAGCATGACCACAATTCAAGTGCAACCTTTTACCTAGCACAGGTCATGAGGCTGCTTCAAAACTCTTCTTTGAACTCCAGCATATTAGAAAGAAAATGTTTGGTCATGGCTCAGAATGGTTAGAGCCTCCTTTACTGTCACTGGCAAGTGGTTCCAGTGCTAGAAATGCCTGCCTCACTCCTAGCCTGGATTCATCTGCTTCTGACTTGTGTTATTTTCAGCTAGTCCTGGAAACAGCCCTCCCTGATTCAAAGTTTCATGAGCCAGCATCGTCCATCCAACACAGCACTGAAAGTGGTGCCCAAATCAACACTGAAATTCTCTCTTTGCTAAACTAAGTGCAGAGATCCCCTGGAGACTCTCACTCAAATATATTGATTGAAATTCTTACATTGTTCCTGGGTTGCTTGTCTGAATTCTTTTAGTGACACAATGCAGTTATGGATACCAATAAGGTACTACACTGGTCAGTGAGACTACTCCCTCATCCCCAAAAGGAGAGGAATATACCCATATGCAGAAGTCAAAGGAACAAGATTGATATATTCATTATGTTACCTCTCAGGTTCTTTACATTATGAAGACAATTCCCTGAAGGAAAGCAGACAAGGATCCTTCTTCCTTCAATGAATGAACTTTTAAGACCACACCTTTAAAGACAGGCTTCTGTATTTCTAGATTGCCCTCTTCTCCAAACCCTTTACTCCTATGGTTAAATTCTTTACCGGCTTAATTGTTTTCAGAAGGTGAATTCCAAACTTCTCAATGTTGCGATGGGCATCAGCAAATTTCACAAAGGCTTCGCTGGCAGCTGGTTGTGGTTCCCGTACACCAATGACAGAGAAAACATCTCCAAATGCTGCATGAGCAGAATAAATACAGACAGATGAATAAAGAGGTGAACCCTGAGAAAAATCTTGTCTCCAGTATTAGAAGTCCCTCCCACAACCTTACAATTAACTGTGGGATGATGCTACCTGTGGAAAATAGTAAAGGTGAGCTACATATTCCCTAAAGACCAGAGTTTGGCAGGGCATTTCCACAATGTCTTATGTGAAGGACAGGGCCTGTGTTAGCACCATGACTGGTAATACAGGAGAGCAGTCCTTCACAGCTCATTTCTGCAACTCCTAGCTTTCTTTGAGTGAGGGAATCACACATCTGACAAAAACTCCTGAAACTGAAGGTCAAAGATCTGTGCTCCCTTTGTTCAAGATTCTTTACCTCTGTGTGTCTGAGATAGCTCAAAGAAAGCCCTGAGAAGACTCTTGGTGTGCTCTGTCAAGCCTGTGATGGAAGCCAGAAAAAACATTTAAGTCACTTCACTGAAACAAAATGGAGGCATCCTTCTCTCCAATCTGCTGTCTGATGGAATAGCAGTTTACCTTTGTATAACTCTGCAGTCCTCTCCAGCTCCTCTAACCTCTTCACTAGTCCATCTAAACAGAAACAAGAATCAGAGTACAGAATTATAAGAGTCACATTCAGGACATGGTGAAGACCTGACTAGGTGGAAAAATACCAGTTTCATTTATTTGGTTCAAGTTTCCCTCATCCCTTAATGCTTGTCCTGTGATACAACGTGGGAAGCTTTTAAAACGATGCAAACTTATTTTATAGTGTGGGGCATCATCTATTGGCATTCACTAAGCTGCTCCCTGCTTTAAATTAATCTGACCTGAGATAACATTTAAGTGGCCACAAGGACAGGCTGTATCACTCAGGAAGGGCAGAGACAATCACAACAGCAAGGCAGAGCAGAAGAAAAGAATGTGGACCATGCAAGGAACAATAAAAAGCAGGCAAATACGGGAGAGAAAGCATTCCATTAGGAAGATGTCCTCCTGGACAACACCTACCATTGCAAAGGATGGCTCGGCTTAACCCCAGGGCATCTGCTGTCCCCGAGCTCATGTTCTCTACCAGCCGGTGCTTCACCTTCTTCAAGACTGAAGGCCAAAACAAAGTAACAAACCAGCATCAGGGTCACTTCCGTGTGCATGAAAAGCTCACCAGCACTTCTCACTGGTTTTCCAGGCACTGGATAAACTGCATTTAACTCAGTGTTGAGGCAGCAAGAAGAAAGAATACTGTAGAAAAGGGCACTCTGGTCCAGCCATGCATACCACGTTTTCTAACTTGCCCATCTGCTCTGCTCTCACATCCTAAACATTTCAATCAACAGTGCTCCAGCGATTCTTTTGGAAGATTGTCCCAATCAATCACTTTGCTATAAGCAAAGCACTTATCTTGATATTTGGAACTAAACTTTGCTTATGCTATCTGCTGTATTACTTCAGCTGAAGTAATGAGGCTGAGAGACAATCAGGACTTAATGCTCAGTGTTGTCTCTTTCCTTACTTTTCCCTTTTGAATCCTAGTTAAACCCTTTTGTAACCTCTTGATGGAATTTCTGCCTTTGGTGGTCAAACCCCACAAATTACTAGAGACATCTATGCCCTTCTTGGAACCAGATGACTCAGTCACCTTTATTTACAGCCTTGCCTGCAGATCCCAAGAACTCAGCTGAAGCCATAGTGTTCTGGAAAATACCATGTTCTCATCACACCTCTTTTCCCAGAAATCCATCTCGCTATTCACGATTTTCCAGAACTCCTGTCAATTTATTAGCACCATAATCACCAGGAAAATAAATGAGAGCAAAGAGAATGGATACATTTTGCTGAAAGTGAGAAAGGCAGACCATATAAAGGAGACAGCTGTGTAGGCTTAGTTCAAAACCAGACACTTTGTTTCAGCAATAAAAGCTCTCCTGTCTCCCATAAAATTTGTGTTTGTACAAAACTCCGTGTAGATAGTTATTTCATCACTGTTCTCCATGGTTAGAAATCACCACCAGTGCCTTTCAACTGACACATTTCTGTGTATATCTCAGAACAGGTCAGCCTAACTTACATGAATTAAAAATAAATTAATTATTATGCAGTTGAGATTCATCATCCATGCTAAACACAGCACAGAAAAACAAGCCACCCACAACAACAATTAAATCTTGATTTAACTTTCAAGCCTATTTCAAAATGTCAGGGAAGGAATTTTTTTTTAATCTGTAACTCTCTTTGACAGTATCCATTTGACTATGACTGAGTTAAGAGCAAGAAAGGAAACAGATTTGGTTTTAGCTGGCACCAATCTTTCACCCTTCTGCATCATTTTAACACTCTAGGGAGAAAGAAACCAGTCTTACCAATATCCAGAGACTTGCCCTGCTTCGGGTCAGCCTGGAGCTTGTTGTAGTGTATTGTCACTTCTCCCTGCAGAGAGAGCAAACCCCAAGCTGTGCTGGGAGCAGGCAGCAGCGCTCCCTTTACCCAAGGACAGTAAGCTGCCAGCTACGACCCAGAAGCTCCAGTGGCCCCCTCCTACCTCTCACCTTTACCATCTGTATCATCTTGGCCACCTCCACTTTGGTCTTCCCTTTGACGGATTTCCCGTTGACTCCGGTGATTTCGTCCCCGGCCGCGACGGTGCCGTCCAAGGCTGCTGGAGTGTTGTCAAACACCTAAGGCAGAGCACAGGCAGGAGAAGGGACAGCCAAACAGCTGCCTTCCTCCTGCTGAACCCACTCCTGCTTTGTCCACCGTGGAGCTGCAGTTTTCCCCCTTTCCAAACCAACAGGTGGGCTGATCATGTTGTTCCCTCCGGCAGTTCTTGCCCCTAGGATGTGCCTCCTTGAGCACAGGATTTCCTGGTGTTGGGAGTGTCACACTGTTCCCCTGTGAATTCTAACATGCTCTCCAAGGAGAAGGATAATTCTAGTAGTCTTAATTTAATTTTTCCACACCTACTAAGGAAATCTTTTCACTGAAAATTGAGATGTTATCTCCCACTTCGAGAAAAACAAAGAGCATAGGGCTCTCTTTCCACACTTCCCATCTCTCAGGCCAACCCTGTTCTAAAAAGATGGCTTATTTTTCCTCCCTAGGTGCCCACCTGGACGATGTAGAGACAGGGGCAATACTGTGCTCCTCCTCCAATGCTGATCCCAATCAGGTTCTGAGAGTCCTTCTTCAGGGTCACTGTCCCAGGTACAGTGGGGATGCCCCTACAAAGAGAAAGGAATAACTGAACGTAGGCAGAGCTGCCTGCATATGAAACAACTCCGGTACCTGAGTCAGATCATGGGCACTGCACATCTGAATTCATGCCCTCACCTCTGCCACAGAGCCTGGCAGCATGGGCCAGCAGGGAGACCTTCAGTGCTATCTTTTTTCTTGGGATTGCATGCAAGGATTAGAGACACCCTCGTCCATGGCTAGGCACTGAGGAAACACTATCATGCTTTAGTGTTTCACCTGCACTCAGTGCTGGAGTGGGAGGACAACTTGCACAGCATAAATGTGATGCAAATCAAGTGCTCTGTGATAAATGCAGGGCAGCCACTGCAGAGCAACACAAATGTTCTCCTTTGCTCACCAGCACAGTGATGCCTTATGCCCGCTTTCCAGATGGAGCAAGAAATCACACTGAACAGGAAGGCTGATGTTCAGCACACAGTGTCACACACAGGTAAGTTTATCAATTCTCATTAGGCCTTAGCTGCAAAGCCTACTTCTATTGCAAGAAACACCAGGAAAAGATAAGTGAAATACTCACAGCTTATCTTCCTCAATATCATAGTCCAAATCTGCAAACATTGTTTTGGTTCAGTGGAGTCTGTTTGTCTGAAGCTGCTTATTCCAAACTCCCTGGGAAGAAAGAACAGAACAAACCAAATAAATGCATTATTGCAATAGGAAAAAACAGAGAACCAGCCTGTCACCCTTATCAATCTCCTTTTTGTTCTGGAATGCCGCATTGTGGTCTCTGCTCTTGTATCAGAAGATCAAAAACGAGTCAAGTGTCCCTGGTTCTCTGCTGTGCATGCGACAGGATGAAGCCCTCGAGTTTGGATGCTGCACGTTCCAAACCCAGGCCTGACACACGTGCAGCGCTTCCAAAGCACCGAACAAAACGCGGCCCCTTCCCGAAGCTGCTTCTCCCCACGGCCGCTAAAGGCACCCAGCTTTATCCCCGGCATCCATCACACCGCTATCTCCTGACTTCACAGCAAGTCACGTCACTTTCTGACCTTCCCCGCCTGTCTCGGCAGGCCGGCTTTCCACCGAGCGCCTCATCGTTTCCCCACGCACAAAGCCCCTTTCCATTTAACAGGAGGGCAGCTGGGGCTGAGGGCAGGGGGGCTGCGGGCAGGGACTGAGGGCAGTGGCGAGCAGGGGCTGCAGGCAGTGCCCGGCCGGGCAGCCCCATTCCCATTCCCATTCCCAGCCCCATTCCCAGCCCCATTCCCATTCCCAGCCCCGGCCCCAGGGACCGTCCCGGGGCAGCCGCGGGGGGGCGTCCCTGAGGGGCCCCCAGGCTCACCGGAAGCGGCCGCGCGGCGCCGTCAGCCCCCGCCGGCCACGTCACGGCCGGCGCCGCCCGGAAGCGCCCGGCCGAGCCCCGCCCCCCGCGCCCGCCGCGTTGCCATGGGGACCGAGCGGGGCCTGGTCAGGCCGGGGCAATGGGGGACGCGAAATGCCCTGATCGCTCTCTCCAACCCCCTGAAAGGCGGCTGTAGCCACCTGGGGATCGGCCTCTTGTCCCAGGCAACGAGAGGACGTAGTCACAGGCTGCACAGGGGGGTTCAGGCTGGACATCAGCAGGAATTGTTTCACAGAAAGGGATCAGCCACGGGAACGGGCTGCCCAGGGAGGCGGTAGGGTCACTGTGCCGGGGGTGTTTAAGGCAAGGCTGGGAGCGGCACTCAGCGCCATGGGCTGGCGGACACGGGGCAGTTCGGCCTCAGGTGGCACTCCATGGTCTCAGAGCGCTTCCCCAACCTCACTGATTTGGTGATTCTGTGAAATTGCTTGGCACAATTACAGTCAGCAGTGACGTGAGGAACCATCGGATGCCAGCAGATGTGGACACCGCTCAGCACAGCTGTGTGCAAAGCCACTGCACTGCCGTGTGTGCGGCAGGATCGCCAGGCTTCTACACATTCTTTTGCTCTGCAATGTGTGTAGGGGCAGTGGCTGGCTGTTCAAAAGGTTTTCCTGCCTCCATCATGACAGCACCATCACTGGGAGAAGACTTTGATTTCCTAGAGAAATGTGGTCGCCTTGTTGCTTTGTGTGTCATCTTTTCCAGCTGCTCCTGGCTTCTGAAGAACTACCAGGCTTCCAAACCCCACTTTCTGACACAGATCGAAAAAGGCCCACAACCCCAGCATTGTACTCTTTGAGCTGGAAACTCCTCCGTGACTAGGAACCAGGGCTGGCCATGGCCATGACCTCTCCTGCTGGCTGACAGGGTGGGCAGTGTTTGCAGTATGCGGCCCCGTGAGCCTCCTGCCTGCATACTTCAAAACACTGGCTGGGCTACCAGGGGAAAGAGTGTGTTGTTAATAATCATTTTATAGTCCCGGGTCTAAGATGTGATTTATTTATGAGGGGAAGCTGAATGAGAAATGCAGTCCTTCAGGTGGGAGCTCTGTGAAGAAAAGACTGACATCCCGACCCTGGCCGCTGACTGGAGTTTTACATCAGTGAAGCTCCAGAATTGATGAGCCACACCCTGGTCTCTGCACGAAGATCTTGCTGGGCTTGGCAGTGCACCAGCACTTGGCTGTGGCTGCAGGTGATACTGAGAAGATGGACCCAAACTCTTCTGAGGGTTTTTTGCACAGCTAAAGACAAGAGGAAGGGGTTGCGAGTTGCAGGATGGAATTACAGTGCAACACGAGGAATAAAATCACACTCAGGGTGGGTAAGCACTGTTTCTTCAGCCCAGAGAAGTGGTGCAATATCCATCCCTAGAGACAGTGACAATTTAGCTGGGCAGATTCTGTCATGTCCTGAGAGAGACCCTGCAGCACAAGCAAAGGGTTCACCCCGCAGAACCCTCCCCAAAGCTGGCTGCTAAAACAGAGAGCTGGCTAAACAAATGTCACACAGGCAGAACTCGAGCCCGCTGTCCGCCCCTCGCCCGGCGGGACTGCTCCGTGCGGCGGCGTCCGTGTGTCCCGCTCTGTCCCCGGGGCTTTGCAGGGCCGGGCCGTGTGTCCCGCTCTGTCCCCGGGGCTTTGCAGGGCCGGGCCGTGTGTCCCGCTCTGTCCCCGGGGCTTTGCAGGGCCGGGCCGTGTGTCCCGCTCTGTCCCCGGGGCTTTGCCGGCGGGACTGCTCCGTGCGGCGGTGCGGGTGTGTCCGGCTCTGTCCCCGCACTGTCCCTGCGCTGTCCCCGCTCTGTCCCCGGGGCTTTGCAGGGTCTCCCCCGCCGGGCTCCGTTTCCAGTGTCGGAGTGTCGCCGTGTGGTCAGTGCCCGGAACTGCTGCTGCAGGAGCCGGCCCGAATTCAGGGCTTGTGAAGGTGGCATATTTCTCCTATTCTACAGCAGAGGTTTTCCACACACACAGGAGAACACCTGTATAACGTGAATAATTTCCTTGCGCCCAAAGGGATTGCTCAGAGCCCCCTGGGCGCTGGCTGGGTAGCAGACTGGCTAAAAGAAGTTGCAGGACCTCATTTCTCCTGCTGCCCACTTCTGCTACTAGAGCTGCAAGGAGCTGAACAAGCAGTGAATGTTTCCTTTGCTGGCAGCTCCTGCCATTCAAAAGGAAGACAGTAATCAGCACTCGCCTGAGGTGGAAAACTAGACCTGCTGACACTGACAAGGCCAAAACCTGTAGGTGTGATGAGCCTTGTTTTGTGCTGCTCCAGTGAAGTGTGCACGTTGTGCATGTCCTTCAGTACATCCCCGAAGCATCGCCTTTGTACACGTGTGCTGGCTGACCCTGCCCTTTGTGCACAGCTGCCCCAAAGTGCCCAAGATTGATTGGATTCTCTCTGGGTGAGATGGAGAATGAATCTGCATGTGCCCTAAAGCCATGTCTGTTTCAGTAGTAGTAGAAAACCATTGCCTGATCGCCTCCTCCCAAGGGGAGAAGTAATGAATTGCTGATGAAAATGGTTACCTAAAATCCAAACTGTAAGGTTAGCCAGAATTTAAAAAAATCCCAGGAAGCGGTTTCTTTTCAGGAATAGGTCTGATTAATTTTATGAAAATTTTGAAATGCAGCTTTCTCTTGAAAATTGGGCACATTGCTTACGGTCTACCAATATGGCTTTAATCAAGAGGGCTTAGTTTGCACATACAGGGATTTTTCTGTCCCCAAGTACACAATCCATGAAAAGTTTGACTCTAAGAGTCGAAACTCCCTTCTACCTGTCTTTCATCACGTGTAATAAGGAGTCTGCTAGCAGATCACACGTTGCATGACTGGTTAGCTTCTTGGCACTCAGATGTATTTCTGTGTACTGGGGCTGTGCTGAATCTCATGTTTCTGGCTGCTTTTCTGCTACTGTTTTCAGTGTCAACACGACTAACTCTGCACTAACATCCTCCTTCATTGCCATGTTGTCTGTTTTTGGGGGAACTTTCAGTGAGTAAGTGTGGGCAGTGTATTCCCTGCCCATCACTGCACAGCCTGCCTGCCCTATCCCTACCCCACTCCTGCTGGGTGCTGCCAACACCTGCAGCAGCCTCTGCATGGGGCAGTGGGACACGGCCCTGTTGGGGTGGAATAGGGGACTGCTTTCACTGGGTGTTTTCACTGTCCTTCCTCTGAAATTTCCTGCATTTAGGATTCTCCAAGGTTTATCCAGAGGGAAGTTGGGGGAAATAGGCAATGCTCTGTAGTAGATGTGTTGTATTTCCACGTGCACCAAACATGTTTCAGTGCCCCTGGACTTTGTCCCCACAGATTTCTTCTCCCAGACAAGGAGATAGGTCTCAGGGGCATCTGGTGCAGATGTTACCTCTGTGAAAGCATTACTCCCAAAATCCGTACTTGCAACCTGAAAAACCCTAAAGGCAACCTAAAGTCTAATGGGTTTTCTGAGACCCTGCAGGTGGAAAGTGTGAGCTATGGCTTGGCTGATCATTTTTTATTTGTAAGGCAACTTTTAGCCTTTCCAATCCATGGCATGACTACACTCTTTTGCACAGTCCAGGGGGACTACTGGTCTGGCAGGGTGCTATCAAGGCTTGTGGTCCTTGGGATGAGCCCATGGGATGTTGAGCTCCACAGCGGGATAGCAACAGGGCATATGGGGACCACATCTCATGAGCAGTAGTAGAGTGAGGGGTGGGAAACAGGCAGAGACTTGCCCTCATTATGCATGGGTCTAACATGCCCAATTACCCCATCCTCTCCTCACCTCTGCAATGTAAAAGACTGTTGTTGAGAGTGGTCATAACTCATGGTGAACACCCTGCCTCCCCCTTACTCCTTTCACACCCACTGCTCTCCATTTTCCTTCCCGAAAAAAAATGTGTCTTTGATGAAATGAAATGGCTCAGTCAAAGAACCCCTCAAATGCTTGGGGACCCCTGCAGTTGGCCACCCTTGCCCACTTCCCAGCTCTATTTCTGGCCGAGTTGGGAGTTTAAGTGGGCTGACCTTGTGCCCTGACTGCCCTGGGGGTCAGTGATGAAAGCGGATGGAGGCTTCACAGTCAGGTCTCTTGTGTGTGACTCTTTTGTTCCCAGGACAAGGGTGTGCAGTGCCTGGGACAGTGCTTAATTGTTTGGGGGCACTGCTTTACCCGTCATGCCCTTCCCCGGGTGGCCCCAGCCCTTCTTGCTCATGCGTGGGAGGGAGGCAGCTTCCCCACTCAGGGTAAGGAGGAGGAAGCAGAGTCTGGATTGCTTGGGATCATTTCTGGCTGTTTATCAATCTGTGTCATAAATTTTGCAGAGTGCCAGAAAGCAGAAAGAGAAATAAAGTTAAAAAAAAGGACTTCCTGGCATTTTGTGACTCCTGTCTATCACTGGGTGTATCCTCCGTTGCCTTCTGTGCAAACAAGAGCAACATCACCTTGTCCCAGCCAGCTCCTGTGTCCATCCACTGTGCTCCATGGGATTCACCCCATCACTGAGACCTCCCTCTGCCCTTCTACAGGTACTTAATGAGGAAAGTCCTGTGTCAGGCCTGAGGCATTTGGCTTAGTCCAAGTGGAGGCAATGGGTTCACACCAGGGAGGGCAGAAAGTTTGCATTGGTCTTGTGGGTGTGCAAGCCTAGGGCTGGATTTATTGAGACTTGTGGAAAGTTTGTTGGGTTTTTTTTCTGGTAGATCTGAGCTGGACACCACATTTGGCACTGCCCTGAAGACATGCAGAGGAGTGGTAGGTTTTCTGTAGGTGTGCTTGGACAGGAGAAGGATGCTGGACAACCTGTGGGCATGATGATAAAGAATTGAAAGTTTAAAAAGCCTTGCCTGGTGGAGGTGGGTCAGCAGAGCTCA